ACTAAGAGAGTCTGACAGGTTTAAATTTATTTATTGGAAATTTTAAGAAAGACCAAATGAAGTAAGTATTAAAAGAAAAGCAACAGAGTAAACCCAAAGAAATAAAGACGGAAGGAAATAAAAGGCAGAATAGAGAAGGAAAATGCACTAATAGTCTAAAGTAGGGGATAACATGATTATTTCACAGACTCAGAGAAAGCATTTGATAAGATGACACATCTTTAAAAAAAACCAAGTTGGGTTCGGGTGGCTCATGCCTACAATCCTAGTTACTCAGAAGGCAGAGGTGAGGAGGATCGAGATTCGAAGTCAGTCCAGGCAAATTGTTTGTGAGACCCTATCTTGAAAATACCCAATATAAAACAGGGCAGGCGGAATGGCTCAAGTGATAGAGTCCCTGCCTAGCAAGCATGTGGTCCTGAGTTCAAACCCCAATACTGCAAAAAAAAAAAAAGACCCCCCAAAGCCCTGGGACCCAAAATCCCCAGAACCAAGAACAAAAAATAGGAAAATTAGGAATGGAGAAACTCCCTTACTTGAATAAAAGCATATAGTAGACTTAATATTTCATGAGGAAAGTACAAATGCATTCTCTTTAAATTCTTATGTAATACAGGGATGTCCAGTACTATCACTTCTGCTAGAAAAAGAAAGAACAGAATAAAGGTTGGAAGAGAAGTGACAAAAACAGACCTTTATTCTGGTTTTTTTGGCCTCAGTTCTCTGTCTCCAACCTCTTGTGAGAAACTATTTTTCTTCTTTCTACAGTCTACTGATGAATGTTCCCTATCGCTTTGGGCCTCAGCTTCTATTTATCTACTTCAAAAGAAGTATAATGATCCTCCAACTTGTGTCCAGATTTCACATCCAGGTTCCAGCCTCATATTTCCATCTGTCTAATATTCCCTCAAACTCACATTCAGCACATCCAAACCCTCTTCTGAAACAAATGACCACCCTACCAACTGCATAATCACCACTGTTAATGTCACCAGGCACAAAATTTTTTATTTCCATTTTTCTTTTCCCAAAGAGAGTGGGCATTTAATAAATGCATTTTAAAAAACTTTTTGAGACTTTTTTTTTGGCCTAGGCTGGTCTCGAACTTGCAACCCTCTTACTTCAGACTCCTGAGTACAGAGATTACAAATGTATACCATCGCACCCAGGCAAATAAGTTCTTCTTGAATTATAGCGATCTCTTCATTCCTACTGCCTCAGTTCCCTTTGCTTATTGATCACTGCAGCAGCTTGTGCTACTCTTCCTTGCTAGTAAGTGTTCCTGTTAGGTAGACCCAGGGTAGACAAACCTTTTCTGTAAAGTTTAACTTTAAAGTAGAATCCTGCCATTATAGTGCATAGGGAGCCATAAACAACCAACAAATGAGTGGCTATTGTCCAACAAAACACTATTTGCAAAAGCAGGGAGTGGGCCAAATGGTCCCCAGGTCACAGTTGGCTGTTCTCTAGGGTAGATTATTACTATGGTTTGCATATGAGGCGTCTCCCCAAAAGGCTCATATGCTGGGGGCCTAGTTTCTAACTGGTGGTGCTATTCGGGAAGGTTCTAGAACCTTTAGGGGGTAGTGCCTTGCTGGAAGAAGTCAGCTGCTGGAGGTGTCTTGCCCCTTGCCCTTCCTATCTACTCTCTGCTTCTTGTCTGCTCACCACCACACACTGCCATTGCCTGATGCTCTGCCCAACCACATGGAGCCAAGTGACCACAGACTGAGCAACCCTGAAGCCACAGCTGAAAGAAATACTTCCTCCTTTAAGCTGTTTATATCAGGTATTTGGTCACAATGATGCAAAAGTAACTAATACAATTGTCAAGGTTTTTTTGTTTTTTAAACTAAAACTTTTCTTATCTGTATTAATTCATTATAGAATCCCACAACGTGGGTGAGGGAAAATCTTTCTCTCTCTCTCTCTTTTTTAAAATATAATACAGGTTGCCAGCTAGAAACTGAAATTAAGTACTTAGGTGTGCTGCTCATTACTTTCAAGACCTTATTTTTCCCTTTAAATTTCTGGATCTTATAAGAATAATTTACTGGAAATCACATCAATAGTACTGTAAAGGCTTTGGACTAAGCAGGACAAATCGGACAAATTGGCAGCCAAGTCACCTTTCTGTCTTTTATGGAAGAATATATCAAGAATGATAGAAGCTGCCAATAAAAAATTCTTGATTCAATGAAGCACATTATGATGACATTGATGGACTTTTGATTTCAGTAATCAGGAAGGGCCCAGAATTTTGCTAGCTACAGGAAAAAATAGCAGCTTGTCCCTTGTAGACCTTGAGATAAAACTTGGTTATAAAAAGAGGTATGAGAAAACAATGCAGAGTGTCAGCTGGGAAGCATCGTGTTGTTCTGGACCACAACATAGCATTCTTTTTCTCATATTAAAATGGGATATGTTATTTAGCTTGAGTTAGCCCTTTTACAATGCATACATATATCAAAATATAATGTTGTTAAGGGCAAAATAGTTTCTGCCGGGTATTGAGGGGGTGGGGGGAGAGGGAGGGGGCGGGGTGGGTGGTAAGGGAGGGGGTGGGGGCAGGGGGGAGAAATGACCCAAGCATTATATGCACATATGAATAATAAAAAAATTAATTAAAAAAAAATAATGCTGAACTATATCTTAGTGTGGCGTTTACTGCCTGAATGGTATTGGGAGACACTTTTCCTTAGGTCTTTTCAGTTTCTGCATCTCTCATGAACAGAGGCACTCACTGTCTTTGTTCCAGATTAATTTTCCAAGTTTACAGTGAATAGCCATAGAAGCTAGAGATAGTGTCTCTATATGAAGCAAAGTTAAATTTGATTACTCTGCAGTATAAGAAGTGTATCTCCCTCCACGGCAATGTCTGGCAGTTTACTAGTATGCTAAAATGTTTGGGTTTCCTAAGTTCTTCTACCTGACCCTGTGGAAACTGAGTATAGATGCTTATAATAGTCAGGCAATAGCTATTATAAGGTGTCCTTTATCTCTTTCCCAGGAATGTTGTGTCATTTGCCAGGACCTCTGATCTATAATAGCCTATCATGTTAGCTTGAAAGTAGGTTAACACCTCAGATCCTTTGCAATTCTCAACAACATGGTTTAAAAATGGTTTTCATCTCCCTCAGCTCAGGTGTCAAAGTACTTTAAAAAAAAAATCTGTTGGGATCTGGTGGCTCACGCCTGTAATCCTAGCTACTCAGGAGGCAGAGATCAGGAGGATCATGGTTTGAAGCCAGCCTGGTCAAATAGTGTGTGGGACTCTATCTGGAAAATACTCTATACATAAAAGGGCTGGTGTAGTGGCTCAAGATACAGGCCCTGAGTTCAAGTCCCAGTACCACTACATAAATAAATAAACAAATAAATACAAAACAAAACCAAAAACAAATATAATGTTGTATACCACACATATAAACAATTCTTGTCAATTAAAAAAATAAATAGCTTCTTTCTTTCTGAGATAATGATACTTCCTCAAACACAGTGAATTATTTCTAAAACTGGTTTCTGTAAGCAGTGTGGCCAGCACCAATCCCACAAAAGGACAGAGTACAGGGACAGGGACTCTGTGTATGCTCAGGGAGAGCAGATTTATGACAGAGAAAAGATGGCCATGGTGGGCAGGCCAAAATGATTTTCTGGAAAAAAGCAGGACCTATAACAAAGATTGTGCTGAGGCTCAAGTGTAGTGAGCCCAGCTGCAGATCTGAGAGAATACTGGCCACCAAGAGATACGAGGATTTTGAACTTAGTAGACATAAAAGGAGAAAGGGCTGGGTGATTCCATTCAGAGCTTTATCTTTTGTTTTATTATGAGCAATAAAATCTTGAGGTTATATTCATAAATTAACAAATTTAGTAATATGGGATGTGGACTTCCACAAGTTATCTCTGTATCTACCAATTAGCTATCTAATCCTCCCTACAAACATGGAAAGAGCCAGGATTTAGGAAATGAACAAGTTCTTTACAAATACCTAAAAGGATTAAATATTATATTTATAACAATGTTTATGAACTTGGCTTCTTGCCAAATATGACTGCAATGCATGATTAACTCACACTTTCCAATGGTTTCCCTCTACACATGAAAAAAAATCAGAATGCCTCATCATGGCCTGCAAAGTCCTAGATGATCTGGCCTTGGCTCCTTTCCTGTGCCTTCCTGCTCACTGTACAAAGTCCGCTGCAGTCTCAATGGCCTTCTCTGCTCTTCAAACATGGCCAGTGTGTTCTGTGCTCGGAGCCCTTCACCTGCCATCTCTTTATAGTGCTTTGCCCTCACTGCTTCGCATGGCTAATTCTTTAGTCTCACTTCAGATGGATTGCTCCAGAGGCTTTCTCTGTTTATTAGGTTGTTTTTGTTTGTTGGTTTGAGATAGGGTCTCACTGTGTACCCAGGCTGGCCTTAACTCTTGATCATCAGGCCTCGACCTCCTGACAGCTGGGATTCTGTAATACCATTCTGTAATGCACTCTATACCAGGTAGAGGCTTTCTCTGACCATCCAATCTGTGTCCATCACTCTAGAGACAATCCTGCTTAGTTGTTTTCAGGAATTGGCTGAAAGGACCCTGCTTATTTATTTACTCATTTATGTCCTATTTATCATCATCTCCCCATACATCGACTGAAGGTAAGATCCATAGGCACAGACTCTACCTGGTGGTCACCACTTAATCCTTAACAGTTAGATAAATGCTTGACACATGGCCCTCGGTAAGTATTCAGTAATTAGTATATGCCAAGTAAATGAATAACCTTTTGTGTCCCCTATCAGGTGATGGCCTTTGAAAGGACTTGGGAAATCTCAGAATCTTAGAGGTGACCCTGAAGGCTACAGAATTCTTTCATCTTTCAGAGGAAAGGAGGGACAGTTTGGAGTATCTGAGGAATCAAAGATTAGGAAGATTTAAAAATGGGTACATTCTGAATTTGGATTAAATAAGTATAAGCTGAGTTGCTGCAAAAGAATTTACCATTACCTGAGGATGTGTGGTAAGCAAGGAAGATCCAGAGACGTAAGAAACCTTCTCATAATGGGACTGGATAATCCAGTTGGAACTTCCAAGGGCATAACCAGAACTCAGAGGAGTCACCTGGACAGCACCAAAAAGCTCCTAAAATGAACCACAAAAAGAATGTGTGAACTTTCAGTCATGTAGTCAGCTGAAAGTTTATAGAAAAAAACAACAGAAATATCCGTCATGGTACAGAAACAGAAATTATTTTAAAGTAAACCTGAAAATATAAAACAAAACAAAAATGATGGAGCCCATGTGGTGAACACAGAAAGCAATCATAAAGTCTTTTGTCATCAGACACTCACGATTCAGTCATTATAAAGGCAGAAATGACATATTACCAAACAGAACAAAGAGTCAAGTACTTTGGTTTCCTTTTTTCATTTTAGGTTAGGTGTTAGGCTCTCGTTTGTTCTATACTGAGTGGCTCCAGGCACAGATTAACAGAAGAAAGGTTTGATCTCAAAAGCTATACTTATCAAACTGCTTTTCTGTTTCCTATTTCACTGGTCCCAGACTTTTAGTGTCTGCTGTACTTGACAGGATGGTAAGATGAGACAGATGCCTTTCTCCTGACTCACTGCTAGCTGGCCAATCCAATGCTAGCTTGGAATGTGAGGGTTAGGAAGGAACACCACCAAAACCCTGGGAGGGTTGGACGAAAACAACAGATGCTTTCTTTTTTTCCTTGTATTCATGAATCACTTGCAAATAATATTAACACTCACAATTTTCTGAGAATATCCCACCAACTGGATTTTACTAAGGGCAGAGTTCACCTCTTGCATCGTATAGCATCTTCTCCAGGTTGACACTTCCACTGCATCCTTGAGAGGAGAAGGCAGAAGCCTGTAAACACACCACAAACTCAATTACTAGGTGAATACTTCTTCATGTAGTAGAGCTGTCAAGTGATTTGTCTGCCTTGTCTAAATCGGCCAATTTATTGCCATATGACAGTTCACAGGATTCTTTTATAATCATTTTTATTTCTGTAAAGTTGGTACTACTTTCTCTTCTCATTTCTGATTCTAATAATTCAGGGCTTCTCATTTTTCTTGGTCAATCTAACTAAATGTTTGTCAATTTTGTTGATTTAAAAAAATACCTTTTGGGGCTCGGGATATAGCTCAGTGGCTGAGTTGCCTAGCATGCATAAGGCCCTGGATTTGATCTGCAGTACCACAAAACAAAAAACAAAGCTATCTCTTCTTTTAAAACCCAGTCTGATAATCACTGCTATATGATTATCTAGTCTGTTCACATTTAATTTTATAACTGAAAGTCAGATTATATCTGCCAACTTTTATTTTTTGTATGTCTCTTGTCTTTTTTGTTCCTCTATTGTTCCTTTACTACTTTCTTTTGTACTATTTTCTGATGTATTTTTTTTCTTGATGATACTTGAAGTAATCTTTTATTATTTCATGATTTTTTGAGTTATTTTCTTAAAAACTGTTCTAGGGCTTATCATCGTATAAATTTTAATGTAGAGCATTTTTGTTTGAACTATATACATGTTTCTGTTGTTTTTAAAGTGCTGGGGATCAGGGCCTTGCACATGCTAGGCAAGCTATACCCTTAGGCTGCGCATTTCTACTTGCTATCTCACATTCTCGTCCTTGTTTACAAAAGATAAATGAACTTAACTAATGGGTGGGAGAAAAAGATGGATTTAGCACAAAAGAGAATAAAGCATGACTTGTGACCTTTAAGATCAACATCAGAAATATGCCTTTAAACAAGCAAAAATGTCATTTTATCCTTTGCTCTGACAGTATGAGAAATAATCTAGAAGTTTGACCACCTTGAGGTTCATTGTATGATTTAGGTCAAAGTACTTCTGGTGACTTGAATGCATGCATTAGCCTCTGCTCCTCTTCTGAAATATAGCACATAGCAGAAGAGGGCTACACACACATACACACACACTCCTCACCACTACATTCAGGATAAAAACCAAGTCTTAGCACGACTTTATAAGGCCATTCTTTGATCTGTTCCTGCTTCTGTCTGTATTCTGTGTACTGAACCCTTCCAATACCAGGCACCCTCATTTCTTATTTCCTGTTTAAAACCTAGCCCAATCACCCATTTTCCTTAAATCCTTAAGGAAATTTGTCGTGGCCAGATGCACACTCATGTGCTCTTTGGGAAGATGCCTGACCTGCGGACCAGGGAACAGGGAAGTGGTACAGAGTGCTCTCTGAATGAAGCTATGGACAGACTGCTCTGCTTCTCCTCTCCTTTGCAGTGCTGCACCTACTGCTTTTGAGGAAGGAGACATTTCTCTCTGAGGGACTGTGATACGATGGAAAAACAGACAAGTCTGGATTTAAATCCCAGAGTTTCCTCTTCAGTTCTGAGCCTAGGTTTCCTCATTTATATAAGGGGGAGAATACCAATTTCTTTTTAGCAGTCTTTCTGGAAGAGGTAAATGATACAATGCATGTAGAGTCTGGTACAGAAGAGATGCTGAATAAAGGTTTGTCACCAATCTTGCCCCTACTCTTACAGCCCCAGGAGCATATGCATTTGTCCAACAACACTGTGGTGGACTTCAACCTAGAGTGATTCATCTCCATGAGCCACAATGGTTTTGAACTTGCTCTGGAGACCCTCAAGAAAGAATACACACTACTACCCTTCTTTAGTTCCTCCTTTAAATTCTTAGAATTAGAGAGACCCAGGCTCCTAGGCCTCCTAGGGCAGCCTTTCACCGAAAATGAAGATTTCTTACTTTGGGCTGAATAGGAGCAGGATTCCTTGACTTTATGCCAGAGCTGGACGGCTATCATGGGAGTGGCTACCAAGTGGTGAAGGTGATGAATAACACATGCTGCCCTAACCACGTATCTCCATTAAGATGAATACTCTATACTGCTCTCAGCTTTGCACGACCCTGAAACTGAGTCATTTCCCTGAGAAGTTTATGCAAAAAGTCACACACAAGGCCAGACTCACTCACAGCTACTTTTTCTTCTGTGAGTTTTGTTACCTATCACTTGGCACCCACTACTACCATCATAGGACAATGTCCTGTGAAAATCAGGCAGATTAAAACTTGCAACAGTCTTTGTCAACATGAGGCATTTGGTTACTCTAATGCAGGGTTAGGGTGTGGCTCAGTGGCAGAGCCCCTGCCTAGCATGTGCAAGGCCCTGGATTTGATCCTCAGCACCACAAAAAGAAAAAAGAAAAAAATATAATGTTTCCACTCTTTGTTGGAGATTGAACAATCATATTTAGCCTAAAGAGCAAGTCAACAATGCTCTGAATCTCAGTAAGGGAAATTGGGAAGTAAAATGTCCACTACTTTTGACTTCAATAGTTCAGAATCTATTTCTAGAGAAATTACTGGAGTGCCTCCGGTAGAGAAATGATTTATTTAAGCAAAGCAAAAGGCTTGTGAAACATTCAGGCATATTTCAGGTTGAATCTTTTCCCATCTTCCCCTTAACTAAGTTTGTACTTTTCTCAGGTATACTCAAGGACATTTTTACAAATTCTTATTGACAAAACAATTAAGAAAAGGCTGTTTTCCTTATCTAATTTAATGTTGATTTTTGCTTTTTTTAGTTGTAATATTGAACACTTTACTTAAAGTCTTTTTTCCCATTACATTTCTAAACTGAGGGCAAAAATACCTTCCTCATAAAATATAGCAAATGAATAATAATATGTATAAGTATATAAATTTAGTCTATTGAGGAATATAAGTACAGCTGTCCCTCAGTGTCCACGGGGGACTGATTCCAAGAATGTCCTGCGGATACCAAAACTTGTAAATGCTCAAGTTCCTTATATAAAATGGTGTCATGCTGATATATAATCTATGACTATTCTTCCATATGCTTTATTGTTATTTATTTATTTTTTTAGAGATGGGCCTCACTATGTAACCCAGGCTGGGCTCAAACTCCCGGCTTTAAGCAATTCTCCTGCCTCAGCCTCCTGAGTAGATGGGACTTCAGGCATGCACCACTATGCCTTTTCTCATATGCTTTAAATCACCACTTGATTACTTATAATACCTTGTACAATGTGAATATTATATAAATAGCTGTTATACTTTGTTGTTTAGGGAATGAAAAAAATGTTTATAAATATTAAGTGCAGAAGAATTTGTTTTCCTAAATATTGTCGATCAGCAGTTGGTTGAACCCCTGGATGTGGAACTCGCAGACACAGAGGGCCAGCTATATGTAGATGCATGCAGCGTACATGTGCATGAGCAATCACAAGATACATCTGTGTACTCACATACGCGCTCAGTGTGAAGCAATTCCTCCTCTCATTCTAGTGCCCAAATTCTTTGGCTATCTAATTCTGGTACCTTATATAATACTTACACTTTTAATTACTTATATTTCTCTACTTGGAAATGTCTAGAAGTTCCCTTTTTCATAAAGGTTTGGTGACTATATTTTTATAAATATTATTAGCCAGACAGAAGTCAAATGTGTTGTTGGCCTTTTCAAAAGAACAAAATTGCATTTTTTTTGGTTTAATGTTAATATTTAATTTCCAATTCATTTTTCTCTTTCCTGGTGTGCACTGGCTGATTTTAGCCAACTCAATCATCTCTCACCATGTTATGTTGCTATGTTTTTGCTTTTATGGGCCTCTGTCTCAGAGTGGTCTATTTTGCCTCATTCAAACTCAACCTAACCTACAAAGTCCAGCCTAAATCTTGCGCCTTAGTACTGAGTATTTGTTGACAAGGTCAAGTACAAGGACTATGTCTTAAACATTTTGGGGCATCTTTCTGCAAATCTATCATAATGTCAGGCACTTGGTACTTACATAACAAGTAATTCTAAAATACTCTGAATTTTCTATCTACACGCATAAAGCCCTTTTGCTAATACCCTCTTTTACTTTTTTTAAATGTTGAATCACTTCATCAGTACTTCTATCTCCTAATATCTTGTCTAACATAGCTTTCCCTAAAACTCTCCTTATGCTGCATTGAGGTCATAACTGTAAGTAAGGCATTTATAGAGCCATTAAAAGCCATTAGGATTATTGGCTGATTTAGGATAAGTATGTTAAGGAAACCCAGAGGGAAGTAGTTTTTTTTTTTTTTCTCTTTCTTCTTTTCCTTTACTGGCTAATTTATCGAAGTAAAGTTCTCACAGCCTAAATTTTTCATAAGTACCTTCTAAAAGATTTTGTTTTGTTTCATTCTTATCACACTTGAGTACCTAATAAACTTCCTTCCCATGCTTTGACTCCATGCCAACATTCTACTGCCTCTTCCCTCATCTTACCCACACATCAAGCAGCACAAGATCACATGTTTTTGTTAAAGAATTAAGGCTTTTAAGTCTGCAGGTACCACTTAAAAGCTGATAAGCCATGCATGATGGCACATGTCAGCTATCCCAGCACTCAGGAGGCTGAAGCAGGGAGATTAAGTTTGAGGCTAGCCTGGGTTACACAGTGAGAACCTATTTCAAAATAAACAAACAAACAACAAACAAACAGTAACGATCCCTCCTCCAAAAAGAGCTGGTAGGTAAAACACTGATTGGGTTCCAAGTGTTGAACGAATGAATGAATGAACAAAATTGACAAAAAAGTAGAATACAATGAGCAGAAATTTTCCCTCAGCATAGTAAAGAACACTTAACATACATATGGGAGGGGTACAATGAGAGTGTGTCTGATGCTCTACATGGAGCTTACCAAAACTAGAATCTCAAAATCAGATACTTCTCAATATTAATCTAAAACTAGATTATAATCTCGATTTTAATTTTAGACCAAATTATCTCCAAAAAGAACAAAGGCAATGATTTTGACTACCAAAGCAGTTAGGAACAATACTTGAGAGTACACAAACTATCCTTGCTTTAAATTCTACGGTCATCAGAAAAACTCTTCTCTAAATGAACCACACTAGTGCTGAGCCACTCAGAGTCTCAGGATAAAGGGGTTTTTATTTCCAGTTAACATCTTGGGATGGTTGGCATGAATCAGTTGCTCAGAAGTTAATGAACTGAGTGAAATGATACACTGAAGTACCTGGGATCATGAGGCTCAACAAGATGTGGAGAATCCACTGAAGGAGTGCCACTCAATGGAGACCTGCCTTAAGTAGCCTCTGGCTTGGACATCTTTGAAAACCAGAACATAAGTGGACTTAGAGATAATTCAATTCTTTTATTTTATGGAAAAGGAGATTGAGTCTTAAAGAGTGTGGATGACAGTGCTAAGCAGAGGCAACAGTGAGGTCAGAAAATACTTCTTTCATGCACTTGACCACCTAGCTTTCACCAGGAAAGGTAGTGACTAAAGATAAATTAGGCTCTGAAGCCAAGTATGTCATTAAAGGGTGTAAGGATGCTGTTGTCTACTGAGCACCAACTCTATGCCTGGCACTGTTTTAAGGACTTTACTCATATTACTCATTTAGTCCTCACAACAAGTCCTACGAAGTTACTAACATCATCCCTATTTGATAAATGAGGAAATGGAGACTAGTGGAAATAAATTGCTGCAGTTACCAAAAAAACAGATCTGAAATTCAAACACCAGTCTAATTGACCTTTATGCCCATACTTTTAAATTTTCTTCCTATTATATGGTTAGACCTGATAAATTACAAATGACCAAGAAAGAGTGGTAGAGCAAAGGAACATTAATATGCTTTTTTTTTAACAGTACTGGGGTTTTAACTTAGGGCCTCATGCTTGCTAGGAAGGTGCTCTACCACTTGAGTCATGCCTCCAGCCCTCTTTTTTCTTTTTCTTTCTTTTTTTTAAAGTCTTTTGTAAGGTGTCAACCTTCACTTTAAGTTGAATGCTTAATTCCTTCATTCTTATGAAAGGATTATGATATCTTATGTTTTATTTATTTAGTTTGTTTGAATTCAGGGCTCACAATTGCTAGCCAGGAGTTCTATAGCTTGAACCACTCCACCAACCCTGTTTGTTTTTGACACAAGGTCTCACTTGTAGTACAGGATGGCTTAGAACATATAAAGCTCCTGCCTCCACCTGTAAACTCCCCCAGTGTTGAGTTTACAGGGGTGAATTATCCCACCCAGCAGTATCTCGTAATAATTTATTCTTAATTATAACTGTAATTATAATTGTGGATTTCTAATCTCATAAAAATGCTAGTCTTACATTAAAAACACTAGAGGCTGGGTTAGTTTCTTAAGTGGACTATCTTGCTTTAAATTTTCTCATTAAAGAAATCTAAACTTCGAAGTGAGTATGGGAAAATAGACACTCAAAAATTACATTGCATGGTATTTTCCTTTTCTTCAAAATTCATCCCTTTTTCAAGAAGAGTAAACTGAAGTGTCAAAACTAGGAAGAATGGCTAAGTTCTTTGAAATAAATCTCCAGAAGTAGTGTCAACTCAGGCAGGAAGTCATGCAACTGTCAAAAAGCACGAGTAATAGGTTTGTTGTTGTTGTTGTTATTTGCACTCATAATAAATCAAATGCAAACCAACTTCAAATGATTTAAGGGAATCTGTCAGATTCTTTTGACCAATGAGCTTGAAAAAGTTTAATTTATTGTTTTCTTTATTTGATGGTCTTCTTATTAGTAACTCAAGGCACTAAGCTGTATTAATTCTGGGCACTTGACCAAGATCTCCATTGAGAGTCTCTGTGTGAGTTTTTAGTGTAAGTAAGAACTAGGGGCTTGAGTTCAAATCCAAATTACAGAGGATTTCCTTGGATCACAGAGGATTTGATTTTAATGTATGAGCAAACATTTAAAACAGATTAAAAAAAATAACATGCAAAACAGCTTTTCCTTCAGGAGCATGGCCACCAGTGCAGTCCCCACCTCACATTCAGCTGAATCTGTGACCTCTACTTTAGAGGAAATGGGCAGAGAAAATGCAGAATTAGAGGAGAAAAAGAGTGAAAAAATAAAAAGGCACGAGAAAAATCTCTAGTGATCTGAATCTTTCAACATACATGTTGCCTAATGAAGCACTTCTAGTATTCGGGCCCAAACTTAAATTCTAGGTAATTATCTCAAAAGAACTCTTTTATCTGGTGACAATAAAACATAAAGAGCTCTTTTGTACCAATTCTAATACTTATGCTGAATCTATCCAGGAAAAAAAAGGACATAGCTTTCTTGGTATGTCTAGCACTCCAGAATATTTTTTCCTGATATAATTAGACTCTTCCCTTTCTCCATTAATGACTAAGACTCATCTCATGTCCAAAACTCAAAACATAACTCCTGACCAGGGCCTGAATGAAACTTGGTCTTCTCTAATGGTGCACTTCGTTCTCCTTGCTCCTTTTCCAAGTTAGCTTTTGGTTTCTAATTTTTGCCCACCAGGTGGCGAAATGAGAAATTGAAAGTTTTATTGCAACTAGCACCTTCTTTTAAAAGGGAGATTTACTAAGCAGCTTACGAAATAACTTTTAGGCCCCTGCCCGAGCCAGCCCTCTCCTTTAAGTTCCAGTGACATTCTTCCTAATACATGATGGTATTTCTTTTGTGGACCAGTTATTTTATTTTACAAAAAATGGGAGGTAAAGGTAAACTGCCAAGGACTCTGCCCAAGGTCGTAAAAGAGGCAAATAAGGATTTGAGACTTCCTAAGACTTGGCCCAGGGCTTGGGAAGTCAGGAAATACTGACCTTTGAATACCATTTCTGTTGTGCCAGAACTATTTGTGACAGAATACTATAAAGGGTATAAATTTAAAAAAGGAGGAAGTAAGGGAAGTCAAAGCATACGTGTTCTATGGGGAAAGAAAACAAAGTCCTAAGGCTTTTAAAGAGGACGATGTAGAGAACTGGGGTCCTCTGTGGTCCAGTGGACACAAAGGAAAGGAAAGAAAAGAGGGAAGGTGGCATAGCAAGGAATGAGAGAAAAGGAGCTGAGAAAGTGAATGCCATGGGGGTGGGAGTGAGGGTGGGGGACGGACCATGTACTATGCTGGGAGAGGAATCAGAGCTAGGAAGCCATTCTCAAACAGACACAGAAGATGAACAGCATGTCCTAAGGTACAGCTTTTCCTAAGTAAGGAAAAGCAGTGAGCATGAAAAGAAAGACTCTAGCTTCAAAGAAATTTCTGAGGTAGTATTGAAAAGAATTAGTATATATGGAAATGTCACAACAAAACCCCCATACAACTATTATAAACTAATAAAAATGGTTTTTTAAAAAAAGAATTGGTGAGAAGTATAAAGTGGCTACAAAGTAATAATTAAGGAGGTAAGAGGGAGCTGAGTGGAAATCAAGGGACAAAGGAAGTTTCTAGAAATATAGCTTTTCCAATGGTCTCATATGCTGCAGAAATATCAAGTAAAATGTAAATGAAGTCTTGACTATGAAAACTGTTGAAGTCCTCAACCATCCCAGAGAGACTTGTTGCAGTAGAGTGCTAGGGCCAGAAACTAGATGGCAAGAGGTGAGGTAAGTAAAAATACCATGGACGGAACAAGGAGGTAGCTTGATTCTTCTTCCATGTTTCCCTATTTCCATTGGTGGTAGAGGTTACCAGTCAGTCTTAACATCCTGGACTTGCTCTAACCCTAGCAGCTGCTCTCACACAACAGACCCAGCCTTCTGGTTCCTGCATCAAGAACCTGGAGAAAAAACCGGTCTTTTGACTTTGTGTTAGTTCATGTTCCACATACTCCTACCCATGTCTACTTTTTCCAGCTATTTTATGACTTCTCTTTACCTGCAGATCAGTGATAATGGCAGCCATACACTCAACTTTAGAACACCTTAGTTTATGCCAGTCTTCTTTCTATAAGAATGTATGTCACTGGAAAAATATTCTCTTTCTATTGTGAGTGTTTCAGAGTCACTCTCCTTTACACATTTCTGTTCATGCATGTTACTTTTATTTATGTAGCACTTGATGTGTAGACATGATTGTGTTCTTATCTAATGTTTTAATAACTGAATAAGTAGTGGCCTTACTACCATTTTACATGAGAGAGAAGTAACTTGTCCAAGGGGGAGAGAGAGGGAGGGTTGGTAACTTGCCCAAAGTTACCAAACAAGATCTAGTATCAAACCCAGTCACCCATCCTTCTGCACAGTCCATGCTTCTCACCCTGTTGTGGGTATGTGTGTGTGATCCCCTTCTTGGGTGAGTGGATACCCTATGTCCCCTGACATAGGGCTCGGGCCCTTCTTCCTCACTTTTTCTATCTAGAAAAGTCCTTTTCTTCTTCCAGCTCCACCTTAATTGTCATCTCCTAAGGAATGTCCTCTTCAGCTTCCTTAAGCAAAGAGTTCTTCAAATTCTGAGTGCCAACAGCACTATGTCAAACATCTCATAAGAAAGGTCATGCAAAATTGTAACTAGCCTGTTGAATCATCTGATTTTTCTATTAAACCCCAAGCACCTCAAAGATAGAGCCAATGTTCTTACGAACTCCCATAACTAGCACAGGGCATATTAATTGAATCAAATGTAATCCTTTTATGTAATAGGGAGAATCTTCAATTCTAATGAGATCAATGTTTAAGTACACAATAAGAAATGAAATGAGTGAGACTTTTTGCAAAGCATACTGCCTACAGTCAACAGGAAGAGGGCTGTTCCTCACCGCTGTATATCCTTATTCTTCCACAAGGAGGCAGACTGAGCCTTTGGCACTCTTTCAATGAAATTCACCAGCTCTTCCATGAGAAGCCTGAGTTTAAAGTATGAAAAAAGTTAGAAAAACACCAGGTTTAACACTGTAGCAAGGGGAAAGGGACTTGCCCACTCCAATCCTACACCATCCTACCTTATTAAATGGCCATTTTAAACTGATGAAAGAAGTTGGCATGTTATTTTAGAAATTAGAAACATTCCTAGTGGAAGAATAACTCCAAGGATTACTCCTAAAAATTTAACTAGAGGGTAAGCAACAGGATAGATCTCTCCGAGATCAAGAGATAGAACACCACAGAATTGTAGTTCAGGCAATCTAAGAAATGCTGCACTCAGCTGGCTCAAGAGTACACACAGTAGGGATTCAGGGTACAAAGAGGATAACCAAAGAGATAGAAACACAGTTTCAACATCTTGAATCCTGGTTCATACTCTAATATGGATGATTCAAATTGTCTTAAATCCCTTCCATGAGATATATAGGTAATGGCAAACTATAAATTTATTAGCATCTGAAAGCTGAACAACTTGATCTCATTTTCATTTACATACTTAATCCCAATACCATCTTCTCCTTCTATCTTGAAAGAACAGCACTAGCTCCAGCATCCCAAAATCTAAGACCCAGGCTGATTACCATTCTGCCATTCCTAAGAAAGTAACTTTTGCAGACTAGACACTAACATTTTTAGCTTTTCCTCTCACTGAAATGGATCCATCATTGAGTGTCTTACTTTCCTATAATGGCCTCTTGTTAGATTCCTTATGGTTTTCTGTACATACTGCAGGTAATGTGATTTCACACAAAAGAAAAGATTCTGTTTTGTTTCTGGTCATCCCATCTTGTTGGGTACCTACAAAACACTAAAATCCAACCTAAGAGTGTCTATCAACCCTAGATCCTATATTTGAGGTTCTGACAGTTTTAATTTATATTATACTTGTTTAATTATGAGATTTTTTTCCCCTGGGGGTAATTTTCTTAATATAATTTTTTTTCTCAATAAATGGTGCAATGGTTCCTTGCAGCAATCATCCATACAGCAAATGCCTGGTCAGGGCAGAGAAAGGGATAGCAGAACCTTCCCAGAGTCAAAGGAAGACTGTGCAGTCTTATTCCTTAGAGTGCAATGCTTCGCTCTGTCACTAGCAGAGACAGCTTAACTGTCTAATTACTTATCTCCCCTACTTTCTACAAGCTGTCTCTATTTATAGTCTGCTGTAAATTATAAAAAGGGGAATATTTTGAAACCAAGGTAATAAAACTACTTCTTTTTCTTTATTTAAATATGCCAAGTTCCTTAACTCTGAAATGCTTTGCCTTGCAAGTTTGTGGCATCTTCCGCCTCTAATTAGTATCATCTGCAGAGGGAGCTGTTTTGGTGAACTCCTTTCAGTTTCTGTTTAAAACAAAAAGACTAACAAGACTAGTTGCAGTTTTGTCTCTAGGCATTTCCAAAGAACATTCCTTTATTTAGAGAGTTGTCTGCTTCTGCTTATTCTTTGGGTTAGGTACTCAAATGCTTCTAGCATCATATTCTACTAAATAGTCACCACTAAAGGGCCTCTGCGACCACATCACAATGGGGTAAGACTCATGTCCTCACCTGCCAATCTGAACGGTGGGCTCTGTGGCATACACTGTGCCTGTAAATCCTGTGTGCTCAGTGATGTAGGGCAGTGCCATCATGCAGTGATAGTTTGAGATGAGAATCACATCTACCGTAGACAGGTCTATTAGCTCGGTCTGAAAAGAAAGCGAGGGATGATACGTATCTGTGCAGGGCACATAGATCAACATGATGTGACTAAAAATGATGCTGTCAGAATGCAAAGAAGTCATTTTTGTACTTCAAAATAATGAGGCCTTTTCTGCGACACTTCATTTTCTCATTGTAGGATGTTTCCTAATATTGACATCAAATAGCAGGATGGGAAGGTTAACAATGAGAATACAGTCCACCAGGAGCACTGTGATTTCACTAGAACAGAGTTCTTCTGGGTTAAACATATGAGGATAAATGACAACAGGACACCAGAGCAGCAGCTGCCTGGAAAGTGAAACTGGGTAGTCGAGGCAGAAAGTATGTAACATAAGCTGGAATGGCGCAGTGCACCCTGCTACAGATTAATGGCAAACAACCAAAACAGCACACAGAAACCGGCACTTTAAAGTCAACAGCCAAATGTGGAGGCACTCATCTTTGATATTAGAGGCAATTTTTCACACACACATACCCATACACACACACACACACCACACCCGTATATATACTTATGTAAATATATATGAAGTAGTGGTAGTCATGAAAGTCTCATATTCTGTCCTAATCTTTACCCCAAATCCTTTTACTCCATTATGTGGACTAAATATCATGTGCAACAAGAGACAGATTAGATTAGCAGGTGAGGGAAAATGCCATACAAGCTTGGTAAATTTTAAGAAAACTCCCATTAGTAGAAGGAAAATTTCTCCCATAAATTTAAGTCCTACTTGTTTGTTAAGGGTTTACTATTTTCTTCCACCAGGCCTCCCTGAGGTACCTGAATGAAGTACCACTTGCCCCTCAGAACTCGCAAAGTCTTCACCGTATCTTTCTTGTGACAGCACTCTGTACAGTGGCACCTCAGAGTCTGGTGACTCCTCTACCCCCTCCCACCTGTGGTAGACAGTATGTAACAGGACTCAGTCTGCTTGCACAGAAGGGCTTTAGCTCTACAAGGAGCATGGTGGGTGCAGAAAGAGATGCAATGGCTCAGAGACATCATCACACCACTCTCTACTGCCTTCATGGGAGTTTGCCTGGGGGAACCATATGGTGTACTGAGGACATGGACAGCCAGTCACAGAGTAGTTCAGGTGGGAGAATGGGTTGATAGCCTCTCCACAGAGAAACAGTAACAAAGATGCTTACATAAACATCTTCCCCCAAAAATAAATTTAATATTCAAACCACATTGATAAACTCATATATTTACTTAAATACTTTCACTTAGTGGAATCAAATAAAAATTATTTTAACTTCAGCACTGTTATATAAAAACATTTGGGGTCCTCCACACATGAACTGGGCCAATCATAATTTACTGTTTACTTACTGAATTACAGTAGACCACATACACAGCCTATGGTGTAGACTTTGGAGGATATTTAAATATTTGGAAGACATTTAAGATAACTGCACTAGATAAATTTTGCGAGGATTAGGTTGTGTCTGCTGAGTTTACCTGAGAGCCAATAAAGACTGGACTGTGGTCAGTGCCTCTCAGGCTTTTACCACACTCCTGTCTTCTTCCAGTCCTATGATAGCCTGACTCTATCTTAAAACACATTATCACTGTGTCATATAATCTTGCTTAAGAAGTTTTTTGTTTCCTTTCTGTGCTGGAGATTGAAAGGCCTTGTGCATAGTAAGCAAGCATTCTACCACTGAGCCACATCCTCAGTCCTACAGTCTTGTTTAAAAAACCTTATGTGGCTTTAGAACTCTACATTTATCAGTAATGCATTAGTTAGACCAAAGGTGAGCTGCGAAATGGCAATTGTCTAATTTAGAAGCTGGATGCAATGGCTCAAGCTTATAATCCTAGCTATTCTGGAGGTGGAGATTGGGAGGATCACAGTTTGAGGCCAGTGGAGGGGAATGGGTAGTTCTCAAGATCCCATCTCAACAAATGACTGGTTATGGTGGTACACGCCTGCCATCCTAGTTACACAGGAAGTACAAATAGGAGGATTATGGTTCAGGCCTGCCCAGACATAAAGTGAGAGTCTATCTCAAAAATAACCAACACAAAAGCAAAAAGGGTTGGTAGAGCAACTCAAGTGGTAGTATGCCTGCCTTGCAAGCACGAGGCCCTTAAGTTCAACCCCTATTACCACCAAAAAAAAAGAAAGTTGAGTATGGATCAAGAAAGTTCTCAGAGAACCAATTCACGCAAGTCAGTGTCACCTGTAGTATGCTGGAAATAAATGCAGCACCTGGGATCAGGTGGGCTAACTACCCCACCTATTCCTAAGTGACAAATGTGGAGACAAGAAAACAATAGCAATGAGGCAGGGCTCAGGATTCTTGATGACTCTCTACCCACACCTCTACTTTCACTACCATACCTCAAACTTCCTCCCTTGTTTGCCTCCTTCAGTTACTATGTCTTCTGTTTTTCTTTCACTTTGGTACCCCTAAAGAGCACATATTCAAAGAGAGAGAAAAAAGTTTATCTATAGGGTATTGAATGAAGCACAGGAATACAGGAGTAAGAGGACAAAAAAGGACACAAACAAAGGAGTTGCCTTCCAAATTGTCTTCTCTCTTTGGTCTGTTTTGACAGGCAGGCACGGTGAGATCTACTGCGCAGATGGAAAGAGGAGGATGGTATCTCCTCATCAATATCTCAGTATCTCTGACAAACAGCCAGGTGCTGGTGGCTCAAGCCTGTAATCCTAGCTACTTGGGAGGAGATAGGGAGAACTGCGGTTTGAGGCCAGCCCAGGCAAAAAGTGAGACCCTAGTTCCAAAATAACCAAATGTGTGGCTCAAGTAGTAGAGTGCCTACCTAATGAGTGCAAGGCCCTGAGTTCAAACCTAAGTACTACCAAAAGATTTAAAAAAACAAACTGGCAAAGCCATAGGGTTCCTTATACTTCTTGTCTGCTGAGAAACCCATGTAAGCCATTCTGGGGATTAAGCCTGTCAGCTGACATTAGCTGCCTTTTAAATGAATGGAAACTGAAGGATAAAACTGGTCCCAAACCCTAACAAGTCTCACTGTGATGATAATATTTATGACTGTGTTTGGAATCCACAATTTTCAAGCAATACTCAATATATTTCAAGTCAGCAAGAATTTTTAGTTTGCTGGCACTGGATAAGTAATGGCAATCCTCAATGACCCACTGTAAGCAAGACTAGAAAAAGCATGGCTAATCTAAGCACAAAGACATCACAATTATAAAACTGAAAGGCTTTGAGTTATTTCCATATTTTGCTCAAAACTATGCCCTAAAAGTATTAGTGAGGATTATGGAAAGAGCTAGAAATAGGAAGAAGAGAATGATTTACATGAATTAGAAAAGGCTCCTAAGTAATATTTTAGCTGTATAACAATGTACCAGGAATAACAGATTCACTTCAATTTGAAAACAGGAAGCTAAGCCCTTTAAAATTCTTTCTTGATTTCACTGTGACAGATTACATGATATGCTTTGTTTCTACAACAAGATTCACTTTCATCTTACCTCCGGTAAGCAGAATTCAGGCACAGAATCCACAAATACATGACCTGAGCACTCCTTTAGCTCCTAGAAGAGATGAAGAAGAGAAATTACTAGGACGAGATACCCAGTAGATAGAGTACCAAAGAAATATAATCTCTAAGCCAGACTTAGAGGGTGGGAGGTTATTTAGGCTAACTTGTCTCTGGGTTCAGGATGGCCAAGAGCCTTATTAAGGGTTAAGATGTTGCTTGTTGGTAGTCTTGGGATTGGAATGCACATTTCTTGATGCCTCTTCAAGAAGCCAGGCAAGGACACACGATGTTTATACAACCTATGGTCCAATGGTTTCCAAGCAATAGTTATGAAGACCATATGGGAATCATCAAAGTTATCTGGAGACACTGATTAATCAGAGTTCTGGGTACTATCTATGGATTCAGAAACTGGAGATGAGATCATGGAACCTATATTTATAAAAAGCACCTCCAGTAATTCTTCTATACCATCAGTTAGGAGTCATGGCCCTAGACAAATTACTTAAGGGCCTTCCTCATTCTACCAAGCAATGTTTAAGGGAAAATGGGCAAGTAAGGTGGAAGGATCAAACCAGGTGTGGTGGCGCACACCTGTAATTCTAGCACTTGGGAGGCTGAGGCAGAGGACCATGAGTTCAAGACCAACCTCAGCTACATGGTAAGGAATAGTGCTTAAACATCCATCACTAGCATCATGAATGTAATGTTTGTCTTTGAAGAACATATACTTCATTTGCGATTATAAACCAAATGTATTTCTTAAAAAGAAAGCAGTATACATATAAAGAATGCAATATAGTATAACTTTCCACCATGTGACTTATATTAATATGCCTATCATAGTTTGTATTCTCCCAAACGTTGACCCTAAATAAAGGGTCTGAGAGCAAGTAGTTTTTATGCAAAGTGCAATTTTTCCAGTACTTCCCATGTAAACAAGGGAAGTGATATGTTATTGAGCCATTTCCCACTTTGAACAAGTGGCATTTCTATGGGGAAACTCTGAGAAATGGTATAAAACATACACCTCAGAGTTCTCCTGTTGAGGTCTGGAATATTTATTTACCAATTCCTGCATGATATGCAGCTTTAGGAAAAAAAACCAAAAAACCAAAAACAACTCATAGGCAAAGCTCCACAGATATGGGAAGCTGGAATTATGCCAGAGCACACTAAAAGGGAAAGGCCTGAGAGACATGGGTGGATCCCTGTAGGCTCTGCTATGAATGCATCCAGAGGTCACAAGAGTTGTTTTCTTCCTGCCGTAGCACTTGAAGTAAGTCTGTGGTGGAATTTTTATCAAGTTATCTGACAGAGTCAGAATTTGGTTCACAGCATCCTCTACTCCTTTTACAAAGGGAAAAATATTGTTACGGTTTTTATCATGTTTTCATTAGACACTGAACATGTTATTTCTATATATTCACATATATATATATCTAAATTTCTGATATCACAGTCTGAATTTTACTCTCAATCTTTGCCTGAAAATGGAGCACTAACTACATTATTGTTCTGTGAAACGTTACAGAGCCTTGAGAGAATATTTTCACTATACACTCTGATTCTTCCTAAGAGCACCATACAAAGTCATATGGATCCTATTTAACTAGTAGTGATAGGTGGGGCCAAAAAGAGACTGAAAACAGTTCTAATTACAATGCACCTGCCAGCTAAAAACAAATGAACAATTATGTTTAATGGGGGAAAACTTTCAACTTCCTTAGGAGGGAGGTTAAAAATGATTAAAGACAAATCACGGGAAATTTTGGCTATCTAACTTCCTCCCCATAATGCTAGGCACGAGGATATGTCATATGATAAAGTCTCCTCTAAGGCGCTCATCCTTCCTGGCCTGCAGAAGCATATTTGCCATTCCAAACACTTCCAATGTCACTGTGTTTTATTCACCACTACCTTCTAATGAGATATTCTCACATACACATGCAAGTCATTTCGCTCACAATGCACTGGTAATGGGATGCTTCTGAGCCTTTCTCAGGGAACAATGATTTATAGCCAGCAGGAGACTCAGGCTGAAATCAGGTACACAGGTTTCTGAATGTCACATAATTTTACAGTCAGCTATGAGGGAACTTTGGTTTCAAATTATGCATTTGGCTTGCACTTGTGCTTGGGGTGCAGTTACAGGAATTAATTCTGAAAAAAAAAAAGCATTTCTTTATTTAACAATATCTTTTACAAGAAGGAAATGTCTTACTCAGATGAATCATGCTAAAGATCTTTTAAACTCACTCAGTTTTTCAATTGTGAAATTTAGGAGAGGAAGAATGATTTAGAGGACCAAGAAGTGGCTTGGAGAAGCCTTATAGCTTTTAATCTTCCTAGATCTCTGACTTGGGATTTTAGTAAAGGTCTGACTATATACAGTGTTAATATTTTTTAGCTTTGGTATCTCATTTAATAAGGTGACTGAAACCTTTAATGTGTATCATCTTTGAACCTCTAATTGCAATTCTAGAAATAATAGTTTTCTTTCTGAGGTGATAAACAGTGTTTGCAGCAGAAGTACTTAAGATTTTCATACATGCACTAATTTGGTCTGAAGTTAACACTGATATTCTCCTTATGGTGCTTAAAAAGAGTAATTACCAACTATTAAAGATTCTAGTATGGATCTTGGGTTTTTTGGGGGAGAATCACATGAAAAATTAAAATGAGCCATGAGTCATCAGACTAGCACCTAGCAGGCCAAGATGGCTTTCCACTGGGTATAAGTAAGCTTCAGTTTTTTGTCTTGGACATTACCTTGTCCAAGAAAGCATTTCCATCCTTTAGAGACCAGCCAGGAAGATTGGACAGCCTGGGACTGTAAAACAAAAATTAAATTATCATAAATAGATTATAATTGTCAGTGACTTCATGATGACTATACAGTCTCCATAAAGTTAAAAACATTTTGAAATTACTGGCAGGAATACTCACCTAAAATAGCAATAAAAAAGATGAAACATAACCACGTAGCATGAAGTTTAAGAATTATGTGGCAGAGTTGGGCATGGTGGTACAGGATTATAATCCTAGCACTTGGAAGGCAGAGGCAGGAGGATTGGTGAGTTCCAGGCAGGCCTGGGCTGTATATAAAGCAAGACCTTGTTTCAAAACAAATAACTGCTTCCAAACAAATAATTATGTAGCAAAACAATATTAGGTCAAATAGTTTAGCACTAAACAATACAGAAAAAAGGCAAATAAGACATTAGAAAATTTTATGGTCTTCCAATCACTGCCTCAACTTTGCCTTGTATATGTTCAACAACAATCCTGAGTGGAGTGGAGGCAGAATGGGTAGCATGATTTTGTAGGAGAGAAAGCAGACCTAGGTTAGGTACTCTGCTATGGCTGTCTGGATTGGATGCTGACAAGTGGATTAGACACTTGTCACCTGTGGCTTGAGTTTCTGATTATATGGAAAATGGAGCTAGTTTTCTCAAGTGTTACAAAATGACACCCTATCCAGGTGAATAGCTGGTGAAACTAATTTCATGTATATACATTAAGAAGACTGAATTAAAAAACTGCTTACTTTTAGCAATCTCAAGACTTAGCTGCATATACTGGTTGATCAGAAGAATTATAAGCTGAAAAATGTCAGTAATTCAGGAAAAACCCCAATATATTGGTAAAATAAAAAAACATAATGACCAAAGAGATGTGTAAAAAGAAGACACAGCAAGAGTACAAGTAGGATGGCAAAATGATTTCAGCTCTTCACTTCAAAACTAATGTCTCTGAAGTAAAACTTAAGGACAAAATAAGGGTATGAGACTACAAGATTCTATATCAGAAACCAAGTTCTATTTAACCCTTTATTCTTTTCAAAATAATCTTGTCAGATTTTGACTTTATAATTAAATAGAAACATATATAAACATTTATAATCTAGGAAAGATTAAAAATCTGAATAAAATAGATGTGCATCTAATTTCAGAAAAAAGTGAGATTTTGGGGGATAACTTGGTATTTTTGGTGGTGTTGGGTATCGAATCCAGGCCTCATGCATGCTACTCAAGCACTCTGTTATTGAGCCATACTGCTAGCTGGGAGTAATTTTCAATTTTGACACTAACTGTAAATTTACAGAAAAGGTAAAAAAAATATAAGGAAGGACAATCAACTCACAGATACCCTTTATCTAGATTTATTAACTTGGGCTAAAGGTAGAGGATCTGCCTAGCAATCGTGAGGCCCTAAGTTAAAAACCCCAGTAAAAACGAACCAACCAACCAACCAACAAACCAGCATCTAGATTCATTAACTGCTCACAATTTGTCTTTGTTAATCAAAAGCAAGAATTTAGGATTTCATTCTTGAGAATGAAAAATCACTACTGTTAGAATCAAATTTACCTAATAAATATTTCTTCTTTTTCTTCTTCTTTTAAACTCAGAGTTTTCTGTTCTAACTGCTCAGAAAAATATTCTATTATCATTAGCTGTTTTAATTCCCATCTCATTTAAGAGTCATATCAATGTCATACTTCCTAAAAATATATTTACTATCAGATCAGATTTAAAAAAGCAGGTATTCTAATAAAAGTGTAACAATGAGACAATGTGGACACTATTCTCATTTCATGCATGCTAGCTCTCAAAAACAAGGCTGTAAATATCCACCTCTTCTTACAAAGAGAACATGCATTCTGTTCCCTACTGGATACATACAAATCAGATGACTGATGCAAATAATTTTTTCAGAGATTGTAGTTTGAACTCTTTACAAACAGTCTTCATTACATCAAAGCCTTCTACTAAACTCTTAGTTATTTGAGTTTTGGAACATTGCTAGTAGAAGGGACTGAGTGCTCTACAGAAAGTACAACCTACCACATTACAACCATGCAGATGGAGCATGCCTAATCTGAAATGCTTGGGACCAGAAGCCTTTCAGATTTCAGAATGTTTGGATTTTGGAATATTTGCACAGATTTTACTGGTCAAGCATCCTTAACCCAAAAATCTGAAACTGCAAATATTCCAAAACCTGAAAGTTGGGGCTGGGATGTAGCTCGGTGGTACAAGCATGCCTTTTCGATCCAGCACCATAAAACCTGAAAGTTTTCGAGAATAATGTCTGCAAATTTCAGAGCATTTCAGATTAGGAACACTTAACCTGTAGTGCCAAAGGACCACCAAATGGTAAAGGGAAGCTACTGACTATAACTGGTTATTGTGTTCCAATGAGTTGAGGAATAAACCACAATGAGTCAGTAATTTTTTTTTTTTTTTTTTGCAGTATTGGGGCTTGAACTCAGGGCCTACACCTTGAGCCACTCTACCAGCCTTTTCTTGTGATGGGCATTTTCGAGACAGGGTCTTGTGAACTATTTGCCTGGGCTGGCTTCAAACCTTGATCCTCCTGATCTCTGCCTCATGAGTATCTCGAGTTACATGTGTGAGCCACGACTGCCAAGCAGTAAATTTTAAACTACCAAAAGGGAAAGGACTTACTACTTTGCTCCTGATAATTATAAAGTTTAGAGACTGTGTAAAACTTGTAAACAAGGGCACAGAGATCTCTCCACAGAAAACTACTTTAATAAAATATAAGGGGTGAAGATAGCAGGAAAATTAGGATTCCAGATGAACACATTTTTATATTCACTATTATACAATTGTATCTTAGAGAAAAAGGATACCATTAAAATTTTTCTTAGTCAAGAAAACAACATGTATACATGATCTATTTTTCTAGCAATTGGTTATTAGAAATACACATAAATTACTCCCATAAAGAAATAAATAACCTAAGGCACTATAAAGTAATCTACTTGCCTAGAAAAATTTCAAAACATAGGTTGAACATGGTATGTGTTTTTTTTCTTTATACTTTTCATTTTTATGATTTCCTAGTCTGAAATATATTACATTTATAATTAGAAAATAACAAAATGTCTTGATACATTTATTAATTCAAATATATGTATTATTCTGAGCAAAGTGCTGTGATGACAGTAAAGCAATCTGTGTCTTAGGAGTTTGTGGTCTAATACAAGGAGAAAGTACACAGCAATCACAGGTGGATACAGTAAACAGAAGGCGCTCCAGGTTCACACAAAAAAGCATTTTTTGAGTTTGTAGTGCGACTGCAGAATAGGGAACAGGAATTATGAGGTGAAGATGAAGGTCTTTCCAGAAAAAGAAAATAGGGAAATGCCTCATCAGTTGGTGTAGTGTTGTAGGAGACTGAGGGGTTCACTTACTCAGGCATCTTCCAAGCACTCAGCTAGGTGCTGGTCTTATGACTCTGAGCAAAGCACCCTCATACTCTGGAGAGTGGACAAGACAGATGAATCAAGCGCTTCCACAAATAAGCAGAGAACAAGTTGCTCAGGATGATGTAGCACTACAGGAGTACCAAGTACCACAGAAGTGGCCTAAGGAGGGGCCAATCTAGATAGAATCAAAAGACTTCCCTGGGGATATTAAAGCAGGGTCTGGGGGAAAATTGGTCAAGGGGCAAGAAATGGAGAGCACAGAAAAAGAAGACAGCTATCAGGCCCACTAACTTCCTCCTGGCATTTTCACCAGACTTTGGCAGAGATACTTTATATGAAAGGTTATGCAAATGAAACTTTACGAAGAGTCCCATACACTCTCTCCCAGTCCCCCATTCAACTAGAATGTCATCTCAATGTCCTTCCAGCATAGAAATTGTCCTCTTAGATGATCTGAAAGAAGACCTTCTGCTACACTGGCTGAGGGAAGCTGGAATGGGAGAGGGAAAGAAGAGCCTTCCAGGCTGAAGGGACAAAGTAGTGGCTCTGAGGTACCTTGAGATAAGATTTCATTGAAATTTTGAAAGGAAACAAAGGGCAAGAGGTAGAGTAAAAAGAAGATGCCTCTGGAGAGGAAGGCATAAGTCAAATCAAGAGGAATCTGGTTTCTATCCTAAGAGTAATGAAAAATCACCTAGAGGTTTTAAACAAGTGAGAGACAAGGTTAGATTTGTATTAAAGGATACAAGTCTGGGGAAAATGGAGACTTGTGCCTTCTGATAATAAAGTCCATAGTGGGTACAGTACTCCTACCAAAAAACAGTAATTCCAGGTTTCCATGAGGAAACATCAGACATTATGCAAAAAAAAAAAAAAAATTAAGACATTATGCAAAATAATTAGCCTGTATTCCTAAAAGTCTCAGGTCATAACAAGCAGACTGTGAAACTCTTCAAGTTAAAGGTGACTAAAAACATGACAACTAAATGCAGTGTGTGGTCTGGATGGGATCTTGCATCAGAAATTCTCTTTTTCCTTTTTTGCTACAGTGGGCTTTACAGTGAAATCTGAGTTGGTAAAACTGGAGAAATATAAGAAAGGTACACAGATTAGATACTGGTATAGTACCAATGTAAATTTCCCAATTTACAGCACCACAGTTATGTAAGTGAAAGCTCTTGCTCTAAGGAAATGCACTCATGTGTAAGGGGGTTAGAATGCCAGCAACTAGTAAGGGGAATTAGAAATTGTTTGTACTATTCTTGTAAACCTCTGGTAAATGTTAAGATTTCCAAATAAAAAGTTATATCAAAATATGACTCTAAATTTAGACAGGCAAGATCAGAAACTGGTTAAGAGGCTTTAGTAGCACCTATAAAAGATGATTATGACCACAGGAGCATTGGAGAGAAATGGCTGGACTCTAAAACTATTTAGGAGGTAAAAATGACAAGGCTTAGTGAAAGATTAGATATGCGGGAGTGAGGAAAAAGGATGTATATAAGTTAACTCCCAGTTTCTGGCTTTCATAACCACATAATCACTGAGATAGAGAACTTGGGAGAAAAGCAGGTCTGGTAGGATATGTTTTGCTTTTTTGGACCAGGTATGATCATGAATTCATTTTGAATGGGCGTGCTGACTTTTGAGGTGATGTCAAAAGCACATTCAAGGAGAGAAACTGAGTAGGCTTGGAACACATGAATGTCGAACTGGAAGAGATCAATGAAAGATACACATTTGTGAGTTATTGTTTGGATAGCTACTGAGGCTTGTGCACTAATTAAATTCCCTTGGTGGCAACTATCATGGCCAGGCACTGAACACTGTGGAATTCCAACACTAACGGCAGGTTAGAGGAAGACAAGTCTCCAAAATATGCAGAAAAGGAAGAGTCATAGGAGAGAGGAGAACCAGGGATGAGTTACAATGGAAGCCAAAGGTTCTGAGTATCACCTGTAACCTTAGAGAAAGCTGTTCCAGTAGAGTGGAGTGGGTAAAGATTGGACAGGGGTTGGGACTGTTAAAGAGGAAAGTGAAGTTGAGAAGGTTAAAAATTTTTGAAAAAAATTTTAGGTTAGATGTGACTGGCCATAATTAAATGGAAAGGACTGAATTAAGAGGAAAAGGTCCAAAATAAAGGAAAGCTATAACAACAATTTAAATAGACAAATTAATAGTATAAATATCCAACTAATTAATTATACTAATTGCCTAAATTAGTCAAATATACTAATGAATTGAGTGATTGTAACAGTGAAAAGACTCTGAGAAGGTGAGGTGGGAGGGGATCCAGACAGAATAAAGTAATTTATTCATATCTCAGTTACTAAGTAGCTACTTCATGCCAGGAACTGTTCTAGGCTCTGGGATACAGTGGAGAACAGACAAAATCCCTGTCCTTGCGAAACATTTACTGAAGAAGAAAGACAGTAACTAACTATGTATATATAATTTAATTGTAAGAACTACAGAAAGAAATAAAGCAGGATGAGGGAAGTAGGGAAGGACGGGGGAGACTATTTTAAGCAAGCGTGTTTCTAAAGTTTCAGGCCTGAGTGAAAGGAGACACTTTTTAAAGGAACTACATAGATTGTCAGCCATCCTACTAGAACAGCACACCTCCCCTCTGAGAGTAAAAGAATGGCAAGTGAAGAGAAGGCAGAAGTAAATGCTGAATTAAACTATGTGAAGAATGAACAAGAAAATGGGCACCAGTGGCTCATGCTTGTAATCCAAAGTCCTAGCTATGTAGAGGTTGAGATCAGGAGGATCGAGGTTAGAGGCCAGCCTAGACAAGTAGTTCATGAGGCCCCATCTCTAAAATAACCAGACCAAAATGGACTGGAGGTGTGGTTCAAGTGGTAGAGGGCCTGCTTTGCAAGTGTCTAGTCCTGTGTTTAAATCCCAGTCACAAACAGGAAGGGGAAAAATGCAGCTTGGGATTGTCTGACCAATTCTGGTTTTGGCCACCTAGGAAATTCAAGATTTCACAGAGTAGGTTGGGTCATCTTTGGAAACCATCACAGTATCTTATATTTTATTTTTAAAAGTAATTATCATGGACTGGAGGTGTGGCTCAAGTGGTAGAGTGCCTGCTTCTCAAGCGTGAAGCCCAGCCCTGCATTCAAACCTCAGTCTCACCAAAAGAAGAAAGTAATTATCCCAAGTATATAGCTATGTTCTTAACACAAGTGTAGTTAAGTCTTCAACTGTGTAATGTTTTTCTCCCCTGATAGACTGTAAGTTCTAAAAGGGCAAGAAAGTAGTCTCGTGGTAGCATCCTTGGTCCAGCACAGGGCAGATTTTTAATTAGCAATAAATGAATGAATGATCTGCTGTTTGTGGGAAAACAGACAAAAACATCAGGTTATTCTAATAAGAAATAACTGTTAGTCATATAAATTACCCCTTCCCCCATTTTGGATAATATCATGGATGGTAAATTTCTTTCCAAGTGTTGCATAAAATGTCATCTGGAATTATCTCTGATCTTATCCCCATTCCACCTTATTGTATCCTTTAACTCAGAAAAATCAATGGCTGATTATAATTTTTCTACATGGTTCATGGGGTTATCATTGTGAATAATCACTACACTCAGTGATGTCTTCAGAAATGACCAAGATAAATCAGATGATTTACTCAACTTGCTATGCTTTTAAGCTCTTAAATCTGCTGTAGATGGCTTTTCCATCTCCTCTCTCATATATGGGATAATTTTTTTTTCTTGTACTGTAAGTATACTTGATTCTAAAGCTGACTAATATGAAAACAATGCACAGATAACCTATTGAAAAGAAATGTCAGACTCTGGATGTCAAGTCCCTAAAATTCAATTCTTGGGCTCATTGGTTGGCCATTTATTAGCTTTTATATAAATCAGCAAGAGAGATGAAACATACATGACCTCAGCTGCACTAAGCCATTGCAGGAACATTTTACAGAAGCCCAGAAGAAGTTATAATAAAGAAGTCAGTCAATAAATCAATAGAACACGTTCTACTAACACAGCCAAAGGAAATTATTTTGATAAAGAACATTTTTAAGGAACAAAGCAAACTTACAGGACAACAAACAAGGTACTGGTAATCTTCATCTAATGTGTACCATTTTTCAGCTAACTAAAGTTTATTGTCTCAGAATGCATCAGCACATACCTTTGAACCAGTGGCAAAGGAAGGAAATTGAGGGTAGAAGTCATGTCCAGTCCGCAGTCCAACATAATAGTGGTTGATTTGAACTTGAGCACATTGCATGGTAAAGTTGGGTGCCCTGAGAGGCAATACTGAAAAAAAAATTACTTTTATCAATAATAAATTGCAGGAGTCTGTGAAGTAACGTGAACCCAGTAAAACTGATAATATGTCTCTTAAGAATGGCATGTAAGTTTGCTCAGCTTTCTAGGCGACGTCCTTCTTTTTTTATGGCTTGGGCACTATTTGCCTAGCAGTGCAAAACACTCAAAAGTCTAAGATCATACCTGACTTTTTGTAGGATACCAAATTTTTCAAGCAAGCAGTGTAGGGGATATCACAGTTGTTTAAAATACAGGTTTTCAAGGATATTCTAGTTCCCTACTCCACTTTGACATGATACTTCTAAATTCCCACCATCCCATCTACATGTAAGTATTGCCTAAAGTTGTGAAAAATCAGCAAAACTCTTAAGCTGAATCCTCAAACTGTGTTCTAGGTTTGTTTTTCAACTCTTGTAAATAAATCAAATGACTTTTCCTTTTTTTTTTTTGGTGATACTTGGGTTTGAACTCATGGCCTCATGCTTGCTAGGCAGGCTCCCTACTGCTGGAGGCAGTCCACCAGTCCTTTTTGTGCTGGGTGTTTTTGAGATAGGGCTTGCAAAGTATTTGCCCTGAGATGGCTTTGAAATGTGATCCTTGTGATCTGGCTCTCCTGGGTAGCTAGGATTGTAGGCATGAGCCACAAGCGCCCAGCTGCCTTTGGTTTTTTGAGACAGAGTTTCACTATGCAGCTCAGGCTGGTTTATTGGGGGGGGGGGGCGGGGAAGAGGACTGGGGTTTGAACTTAGGCTTTAGTGCTTGCAAAGCAGGCACTCTACTGCTTGAGCCATGTTTCTAGTCCTTTTGCTCTGGTTAGTTTTGGAGATGGGGTCTCAAAATACTTGCTGGCCTCAAACCTCGATCTTCCCAATCTCAGCCTCCTAAGTAGCTAGGATTACAGGTGTGAGCCACTGGTGCCCAGCTGCTCAGGCTGGTTTTGCTGTATAGCTCAGGCTAGCCTCTAACTCAAAATCCTCTTGCCTCAGCCTCCTAAGTGCTGGGATTACAGGCATCTGTCACTATGCCTGGTGGTGCTGAGGATTAAACCTAGGTCATCACGAATATTAAGCAAATACTGTACTGCTAAATCTGATAAAATCTTCCTTTTTACATCTTCACCTTTAATTCTTGATTACAGACAAAAAAGCACACAAGAAAAAAAACAACATACAAAAGCTGCTGCTCAAAGGATTTCAGACACTTATTACTGTCATCAAAGGATGAAAAAAAGAGAGGAATACTTCATACAGGCTTCAAACTAATGGAAGAAACATTTTCAGAGCACCTACTAAAGGTGCCAGGCCCTGCTCTCATTGACCTATCTGCAGAGATGAGGAAACTTTGCTTTACAATGTGAACATCTTGTTTGAGAAGAGCTACTGACACACAGGTCCCCTGACTCCCAGGATCCCATTCACCTTCCACACTGAACTACTCACCACTGAGAAACACAGTGACTGTCCATGGGTCACACGACCAATAAGGTCACCTAGCTGCTTTTGATGCTGCTCTCTGTCTCTAATATGCTGCCTCTGATTGCCAAACAGCTTATCACCCAGTGAGGGCTTTAAGACCAATCCACAGAAACAGAAGTCACAGGTAATTTTAACTTTAAAACTAGAACTAAGTTTGTATTACAAAAATCTTGAAAAATAGAGGAAAGAAAAATTTACACACAATTAAACCAATTTAATTATTTTTGTATTCCTTGTCTTTCATTTTTGTAAAAGATGTAACTTTGTGTACACATTATTTGGGGTGCCGCTTTTAAAGCTCATCACTGTGTTTTCCTTTTTTAGGTTGTATCACACTTCTCGTTCAGTGGCTAAGTAAATCTCCCACCATTGGTTTAGTCAGTCATTCCCTTATTGTTGAGCACCCAGGGTTGCCTCCTGGTACTCTATTACAAACACGGCTGTGCTGATCACTTCAGTGTTTGAAGCTTTTTCCATATTGGACTATTTCTTTGGAGGATTCCGAGAAGCAGCATTAACTAGGTCAAAAAATATGAGCACTTTATGGCTCTTAAAACCTGCTGCCAAAATGCCTTCCAAAAATGGCTGTACCTATTTACAACATCATAGGTAATATATCAAAAGACCTGTTCCACAGCTCATAGATAATAGTCAAAACCATTTAGAATCTCACTGATTGCAGATATAATCTCAGTACTAGCTATCTAGAGGTAATCAAATGGTCCTAACCAAGGAAAAGTAAATTATGTGACAGATGGCTTTAGTGTTGAGAGGTAGTCTGGAGAAATTATAGGGGTTTGGAGGGAGACTGCTTGGCTCAAATCCTGGTTACACTCATTATTAATGTGTGATCTTGCATGGACTCAGTTTACTCTTTTGTGAGATGGAGTAACAGAAGCTATCCTTGTAGAGGACTAAATGAATGGACACAGTGGCTGGCACAAGATAGGTGCTCATTTTTAGTTGCTCTACTTACAGTATTATTAAGGGGCAGAAGAGGTCACCTAAGTCTTGGGGTGGGGGGTGCTACATTCTATAGTGGCATTTACTAGTGACAAACATTTGTGGTCTTCTAAGATCAGATAAGTCTTTTTGGTTTACACTTCTAACAAGAGGACTCAGGTCTCTTTGTAGTTTCTGTCTCTGGAATGCCTACTAAATCTAGGTTGCAACATCTCATTTTACTTCCCTATGCCCTCCTCCACCCAGCCAAATTACCTTCTTATATTTTGATTTTTAGTTCCATATAGTGCACTTTAAGAATTTTCCTGATTTATCTTATATTTTGCTAATTCTTTCTTTAGCAGTATTAAATCTGCTTTGACCTGTGGATTAAATTGATAATGAAAATTTCTCCCCCCTCCTCCTTTCTTTCTTTTCATCCTCCTGCCTCAGTCTCCAGAGTAGCTGGGACAGGCATGAACCACCATGCATGGTTTATAATTTTCTTTGCAATGACTGCCTTTCAATTCTAGATATTCTCCTTGCTTTTTTTTTTTTTTAATATGGTGTCTTGTTCTTTTTAGAAGTTTGGTCCCTTCACATATCCCTTTAATCACTTTAATATACTAGTTTTAGTGTTTTCCATTGATTATGCAATCATCTGAAGTTCCTGGAAATCTTGTTATGTTTGCTAATTCTAACTTATGATAGATTTCATTACTTACTGTTGTTTTAAAATTTTGGATAGTGAGCTTATCTGTGGGGATTCTCTGAAAAAGGGGCTAGGGCAGCTACCCCCAAAAATGTCATCATCTCGATAATTTTTAGGTTGATTTCTTAGTTTCAATATCTGTACTACATAGATGAGCATACAAACCAGACTTTCAACACTCTTAAAGCACTGGTCCACATCCTAGGGACAATATTCCTTAATGATCCCATGATAAAACAAATGAAAATCTAATAATCCTTTCACTGGAATATACAACCCTTGGAGGTTTTTGGTTACTAGTATTAAAATACATGTTTCTGAATATATTTATCATTAACAATTATATCAAAATAATTCCTTAGGTTTCAGCAAATCTAATACTTTACTTACTAAATTTTTATTTTTTTTATTATTATTGTACTAGGGAACATTGTGACATTTACAAAAGTTATTACAATATATCCTAGTTGAATTCACCCCCTCTATCATTTTCCTTTACCCCCTCCCTCATTCTTAGAATAGTTTCAACAGGTCTATTTTCAAACATGAGTATATACTAATTCCACCATATTCATCCTCCTACACCCTTTTATATCCTCCCCCCACTCCCACTGGTACCAATGCCCCCAGACAGAACATGTTTTGCCTTCCTGTTCTCTGTTTTTTGGGGAAAAAAATGACATTTTTGTTTGTTTAAGATAGCTATATAGGGTGTTTCATTGTGACATTTCCCTGTATATATGTACACAGATAAACCTGAATTGGTTCATCCCCTATTTTTCTCCTTTCTACCTTAGTCCTTTCTTATAGTGATTTCAACAGATTTAAAAATTCTATAATCATTCTTATATAGAAAGTACCTCAACCACACTCAGCAAATCTAACACTTAAAAAAGCTGCTTTGCACACAAAATGAGAACTAGCCAACTTAACCTCCCCATCATCATAACCTCACGCAAGTCTTCGAAAGCAATATGAAATACTGTGAATTTCACCCAAAGAAACTTAAAATTTGCCAAATTTTCTCACATAGTAAATTGAATTTAATAAATCAGTTTTGAGGAATAGTCTGTGTTTGCAAAAAGAACCATGAACTAAAACATCATATCCTTTCTCTTTTTCCCTAGTCTGTTTAAAGTACTGACAGCATATGCAGCTGTTATGATATGATATTTATTGGATGCCAGGCACTCTGCAAGAAACTTATATTTAACTCCTGTAATCCTCCTAAGAATGCTATCAAGTAGGAAATATTTTTCTATTATACAGATGAAGAAATCAAGCACAAAGATTATGAAACTTGTACATGGTCCCAAAGCAGTAAGAAACCATGCCCGAACTTGAATTTGGAACAGCAACCTCAGGAGTCAGCACACAAACATACCATTCTATACAGACAGAATGGCCTTACTCTTGAGTTGATAAGGGTGTAGATGAGCTTACAATCTAGTTCTAAGTAGGAAGCTTGGTAAAGCAAAGGCCCAAGTAGATTAAATTATTAAATTAATTTGCAATCCATTATAAGCAGTAGTTTTAGTTTGTTGCGTTTCCCGTTCCATTAAAAAAAATAGTTAAAATTCTCTCACTACAAACTGCTGAAACTTCCTTTAATTATCTGTAAGGTAACCTTTTCCTTTAGGTAAGGTTAATGCCAATAGCCTTTTAATTTTGTTTCAGGGAACTGCAGAGTCAAAAAGGAACAGTTTTCTTTTTAATAGGTAAGAGTGTTAATTAAGTAAGGCATAAAAGACTTCACCAGTATTGTTTGTTTTTCTTTTTTTTCCTCTGTTCTTTATCTGACTACTCATATACCCACGCAGAAATTTATTTGCAAACAGAAAAGGGTCCCATTTGCTATT